TTTAAACCTTTACTCCGATAAAAAAAAATTGCAGAATCACATTTCATAATTATTCCACAATAAGCCGAATTAAAGAGCCGTAGCTTCATTTAAAATATTTCAGCAATCATCTGCCAGTTTATATAGATAAACTTTAAAGCCCCAAATAAAACTGATTATTTGTTCACAGCATTACAGTCTGCATGTGTCATGAAAAGAAAGCAAGAAGGCAAGCAAGAAAGCAAGACGGAAGCATGCCAGACCGAAACATACAACCGAAGGGGGGGGGAAACATCAACTTTAAACATTCTCCCACTTCGGAATCGGGCTCTCGTGTAAATAAACAAAGCCGTGTTCTGCTTATTTTGAAATTGGCGAAATATGACCAGGGACTTGACAGGGGTCGCGATGGGGGGTCAGGCGGGCGAGCAGTGCGCGCGGGGGTCAATGCCGAATTTGGTCACAAATCGTCGTGATCCGTCACAATTTTCCCCCCACCGGCACACCCTCAACTCCGCCAGATCGTATATCATCATTTCACCCTCAGACCCTTCCGTCGAGGTACAAATTTCTTGTAAAAGTCATGTAATGGACCTTTTGTCTCAAACCGAAGTGTTCCGTCGTAGAGTTTATACAGAAGCTGTGCCGGTATGTAAGGATTCGTACATTCTGACTGGGCACGCACATCGAAACGCAATTTTTCTCCAACACTGCAAATTCTATCTCTGGCCAGCAGACGATGTGACTCGAACTCGAAGCACGTGTGGTGGTCATATACAACGGGCGACAATAAATGGACCCATTTGTGCCATGTAATTATTGTGCTCAGCACTGGAAAAAAAATTAAGAACTTACAAAAAAATCGCATTAAATGGTAACACATCCGTTCGGCGTTGCAGTGACCCAGCAATGGGTAGGATCATAAAGACAAGTACAGGCACACTGTCTGCTCACCGTGGCTCAAGGCCTGCTATTTGTCGACTTTTTTTGTCGAAAAAAATGTGAAACTACTTGATTTTCCTCGTTATTTTGTAGGCCAGCTTTTCGTAGGCACTGGCGTGTAGTCTTCATCGGTACGGGTCGAGAACAAAAGAAAACCAGTGTGTTTCCGATGTTTTACCTTCGTCGCAAAAGATCAGAATGCTTTGAACCCAGCCACACCAAAAAAGGTCTAATTTAGCTGAGCAAAGCGGCAGCTGAAACATGCCAGGTGGCATCGTACACTAAAACGCATAACTACAAATTTCTGGTTCACTAAGTTAAATCGGCCTACCAATAGACGCTCAAACCACGAGCACAATTTGAAGTAATTTACAATAAGGGCAAACAAACAAGAGACAAAAACACTCTATAAATGTAAACGAACTAATCTTCTCTGAGGGGAAAGGAGTAGGGGGACACGACAATCCGTTTTAGTAAAAAAAAAGGGACAGAAAGTGCCGAAAATGTGATTTATACAATTCAGCACGGGTACTTCATGTCTATACGACAGAGGCATTTGTCCATTGAAATGAAATCACAACGGATAAAAAGGTATACGACTTTCGACATTGCGTTCTTTGTACCGGGACGGTACACATGCTCATAACATATTCGCCGGCCTGTTTATTTTCACACGCTGCTATTTTGAACGCACAGTTCACAATTTCACATGACCAAATCAACCGGCGGGGATACATGTTTTTTTGTTGACTGAAGTGGAATGCTCATGCTGTAGATGTGATCATTTCGATATACTTATGCAACTTTTTCACCTCATTGAAACCTACTCGAGGATACACAATTTGTCCCCCTTGTTGGTTCCAGCGTTCACGCTTGGCTGCCCTTATCGGTGAAGTTGGATGTAGTTCCCAGAAGCATGGAGCAAGGAACAGACGGAAGCCAGCATGCACCACGGCTGTTTCGTGCCAGCAGATGCCCGTTTCGGAACAAGCGGAATGTCTGCGGGACTATCACCGTGCACATCGCATACGCCAACACCACATGACGCAGTTCCTCATTACTGAAGCGGAATTATCACTAAACAGCATTTATAGCTTCAGCTTGCGTTAAAAAAATGTTCAAGTTTCCAAACTGAAACAGTCACCACACACGCAACAGAAGTGTACGTAAAAGTCACAAGAGCGTATACACACACACACATAACGTTGCCCGGGAACATATTAGGAAAGTACAATCGTGAAGCTGGCCATGCATAAAGTTCAACCTAGAAAAACTTCACCTTGCACAAGCCTGATGAAAAATAATGACTGACCCCCCGACAGTAGTCTCCATCGTGGTCTTTGATATTGTAAACAACAATGATTAAAACGCCGTGCAGAAAAAGAAAACAAAAACATAAAAGTGTGTGAACTTCACCAGACCTATTCGGGTACCACAATGTATAAAGTTGACCGTAATTATGGAAACCTCCATCACATCTGAAGTGACACGATTAGCCTAATATTAGCAATAGACGCGACATTAACACGCTTTGAACCGCTTTGAAGTTACACACGTGGGTACACACACGTATTTTGAAATCTCCGACCAGGCGTCCCACTTCGCTTTGAGGCCGCTGACAAAATGGGTGTTCTGAGACTCCCGGGGAGCTGAACAGTGAATCGCAGACTGTGCATGCGACTTGGTAATGGATGTACCCTCTATCTATAATCGCATATTTATAATTTCCTGCTTCTTTTGAAGTCGATTTCTGTCGTTATTTCACACCACCGCGCATGGTTTCCTGTGGTGAATTCACAATTGACCATACGGTTGTCCACAGACGCCAGAGAGTTGGAAATACTGTAACACCGTCGGACTGCTCGGTAATGACAGGACAAAAACGTGAAGTCAACCTGCCAGCGGGGGATGTGTCTTTTGTCGATTTCAATTATTATTTTCAATCGGATTTAAGACTAGAAGGCTTGGTAAATGAAGCTGGGTGAAACGCATTTTTCGCTCGTCAAAATTATTGTTTATTTCGATTTAGTGTGTTATGGTGGTGGTTCTGTGCAAAACTAACCCCAGTTTGATTTTGGTCCCTTAACTTCCGCTAACTTATCTAAAAGATAATTATAGAATTTGCTGATCAGCAAATGTCCAGATATTAGTACCACACATGTTTGAACACAAAACAATCTTACGTGAAATAAAACCAGTCAAATCATAAAGTGTTTTTAAAACACGGTACGTGTATTTTGATATACACCAGACGCAGGTCTTCAATTAATTTTGAATCACTTCAATTGATCAAGGCCCCCCCACAAGCGGCCACCAGTTCTGCAACATCCTTAAAAGGCTCACATCCGATTGCTGGAAAATCATCAGTGCGGACACTGTAGGTTTCACGCGTGGTACTTGTCAAAAGCGCGCTGACACAGTCTTGAGTGATATTTTTGCCCGTTGTCTGCACTGACCGCATCCATCTTTTGGTCGAATTCGCTGTCAACCGCGTCAGCTTTGGACATAAAACATCACCTTTTATCTCCTTTTAAACAAAATCTGTCTTAATTACACTCTCGACGAGCGGTGGGAGAGGAGGTTCGGCCCAGATAACGTCTTACGCAATTTGGGGGGAAACTCGACAGGCTGAGTTCTGTCACCAGCGACGCGATAATGAGACAGCAGCGGGGCAGCAGGGCGACCCGTGGTGGGTCCTGGTCGGCCATCTGTAAGGGGGATGCAGCCCCAATCCTTGGCTGTAAATGGCAATGATGGCGGGACACAGGAAATAGCATTTCAAGTCTCTCGAATGGGGGGGGGGACTGCGCAGATTATGTTGGTTCAAGAAATTACGTAAGACCCACTTGTATTATGTCTCTAAATAGTTTCTGAAGTTGACAATCGACAGAGCTAGCACGTAGACCTGAACTGGAGGGCTGGACAGTGTTATGATGAATCCGGATTACGAGATTTATGCTACGTCGGAAATGGAGATAACGAATTGAATAATTTTTTTCTCGCACGATTGTTTTTTCCCAATTATTAGTGACGGCAGGCTCAGAAACCTTAGGGGCTAATCCCGAAACCCTGGGTTGCCTCAATGAGGGAATTGTGAAATGGGGACAGAAACTTATTGTGCTCTGATGGGAGCCCATGCATGAGACAAGGCCAATTCCACGAGCTGCACCGAGCGGGAGTCGAACCGGGGTCACCAGGGTTGTAACTTGGACACGAGGGAAGAACCACCGAAAAGTACAGCCCAAGCACGTTCAGAGCACTTCAGAGCGAATGGTTGCAAATGGAGCGACCATTTCTGTCCAACTTCAGTATTCGGTCACGCAGTCACCCCCCCCCCCGTCCGTCATGGTTCACTGGGGAATGGGAGTTCGGTTGGCCGGTAAATGAGCAAATCTCGAAGGGAGGTGTCCCGTGGACCGAGCTTTCGAGGCTGGTATCACACGCATGTTACAAGGTACGCCTACATGCATACGACGTTGCTTATTAACATCTTTTCAACTTAACCTTTTGTGGCTACGAGAACCACATACCAAGGGCACTCTTGAAATCCACTCTGTTTATCCTTTTTCTCTATAGGACGTACATGTACCTAAAACATCCAAATGCTGTTGCCCACTTTTCCTGATTGTAAAACTGTTCGCCGCAAGACTTTTGTGTATACCGTGTATACATGTTGGTTTACCGTGGAAAAATTAGAGGGCGTGGTTGGTACACAAAACACGAAACAACCTGTGACGTCACCGAATGACTTGCGTGAACGATGACGTCAGCATGATACACGTTGGTACCACGCAAAACTATGACGGATGGTTGGTACACGAAATACCGAAAAACTTATGGCGCCACTTTATAAAATACAACACAGTCCTGTTGGCACACAATCACTGATATAATCCCAATAGGTGAACCCAGCCTTTGCAATTTCAACTGACACGGGCCTAAGATTTTAAAGGAGAAACAACTGATACATTTGTAACATTGGTGCGCTGGTATTTCTAGCAACCTATATTTGTCCTATTTCGGTGAAATCTCGCAACGTTTGGGATACGGGTTTGTGATGAAAGGTGTGGTGACCTTACCTCTGCAATAGTCTCCAACTGAGTCCAACCCTTTTCGTTTGCGGGGCCTGCCCTTGTGAACGCCGACTCCCATCCCGTTGTAAAAACCGACCGGTCCGGACGGGGCACACGGCGGTGACGGCCCGGGGGTCAGAGGGCCCTGGTAGCCTGGGGCCAGTCCCGGGTGGTGCTGCTGCTGCGATTGTTGCTGCTGCTGGGAGCTAGGGAGGGGTTGGTGCTCGCCTTGGTGCCGGGTGTGCTCGGGGCTGGCCAGCACAGCCGTTTCGTAATGCAGCCGGCAGTAGACCTGGGCGTCCCGCATGCCGAAGTAGTCGCCCGTGGTCAGAGCCATGCTGCACATCGCGCAGGTGAAGCACGTCAGGTGGTAGACCAGGCTCCGGGCTCGCATCACCATCTCGTGGGCAGCGATGCCTGTGCCGCATCGGCCGCATTTCTTGACCCCGAACCGTCTGCTTGGTCCAACGGGACAAATGAAAGAGAAAAACATATCATCAATACAACATCAACTGTCGAGCCATCAGCAGAATATCAAAATAATGAATGTATCTTAATAAATTTATTAATAAATTAACCAATATATAAGTAACCATTGATTTAACTCCAATAATGATAAATTTATCCCTTTTGGATTTTCCGTTTGATCTTAGATAGGACATAATGAATCTTCCTTGATCTAAAAGCAAACCAATATACACGTAAGAGAAACATATTCGCTCATAATCAGTGAAATTTTAGACCCAAAAACTGTTTTAACGTAGAAGGCTTTAAAGTTTGCAGCCAATCGTCTTTGGAATGTCTCCACGGCATTCCCTTCTCCGCTTAACATCGAACGCCTCGCGTCTTTCAGAAAATAAATCACTTCAGATGAAAAAGAAGAACTCTAGGCGAGACAGCCGAGCTGGTCAAATATGTAGGTCCGCCACATTAATTTCTTTTTTTTTTTCTAAGTTGTTGTCAGGCTACTGGGCCATTCATCCACGGCGGGATGTTTGTTTATTTTAATAATGTCATAAATTATGACATGACTAAAACAACAGATTCCCTGGCTCTTAACCTTTGACCTTTACGGGAGCCGCAGACTCGGTGCTCAGGTCCCCAAGTTCATATTTTTTTTCTGCGTTCTGAATTATTTGTTTTATTGATAGCGCATCTCACTCTAAGCTCGAGACTGTGGCTCGGGGGCTGGTTTTTTTGTGTTTTTTTTTTTAACCCTCCAGCATTTTTTTCTCGATTCTACCCTTGGATGTATTTGGCTGCTTTCTGAAATCGAAGACGAGGGTACGAGGGAAAGAAAAACAAGAGGCGCGATCCAGGTGTGAAGTTGCACCGCGCAGCGGGGCACACGTCCCGCTGAATTCGGCCCTGTCGCTCTGGAGAAGAACCAGACGGTCCGAGACAAGTATTTTTGGGGGGAGCCGGGTAGTTGGTGTCAATGGAAATCGCTTGTACAAAGAATGGAAACCGGTTTAACCCCACAGATTCATTAAAGAAAGTCATGGTTCTACCTTCATGGATCTTCCAACAACGATGTTGTCTTTGACTATGCAACAAAACGCACTCGGTTTACCCTTTAAAAGCGGCCAAAGCTCCCTTCGGAAACCACGATGCACGTACTGGGCCTTTCGACGGGACGGTCGGCACCTGCAAAGGTCTAGGTCCGTGCGGTCATTGACCTTGAACCTTCGAGATGAAAAAGATGCGGTACCAGAAAGGCTAGGCCGAACAAAAACAACAAGTGCAACAAAAATGCTGTGCATTGCGGCTCGACAAATTGGAGGGGATTTTTTTAAAAGGACATCGCCTTGTGTTTGAGTTTATAAACAGGAATCATTCTGTTCAGAAGCTGCAAAATCCAACAATGCGCAGCTGCGCTGAAAAAAACACGTGCTTTGTGTTTCACCGAACACTGAGAGACCGTACCGCAATCCTCTGGCAAACTATCATTGCCTTTTCTATCTTATACTAAAATATTGCTCAACCAAACTGGTGAAAATATCACCAGAGAATTTGAGGCGCCAAGAGATTTTGAGGCGAACCGAAAGAGAGTATGGGGGCTATGTTTAAAAATGATCAGTCGCACGCAGGCATGAAGGAATGGTTCAGATGCATTAGTGATATGACCAGAGAATGGACGCTTATAACATCGGTATAGCTTTCATTACATTACCACAGACTCGACGGCACTATCAAAATTATAAGAATTCTAAAACCCACTCAAAGTATGACACAACAATCCTCCATGTTTGGACATAACAGACACCCAAAGGTCAAACCCACAATCCTCTACTACTTCCGTCGCTATATTATGTGATGACAGTTCTACGGATGCAGGCCAGTAGACCAAAACTTGTCTGCAGCAGCGCGGACCTAGTCGCAATTTTTTATGCTGTGCTACTCTCTGCTATGAGAGCCCTTCGTGGCACGTGGACCGGACGGTTTGTAAAGGAGGATGAAATCTACTAGCCGGACTGCCAGCTTGTAATTTCTGAAAGTATCGGACAAAATGGCGCCCTCCAATTGCTCCATTTTGCAATGGAGTGTAGGCATCAATTTTCAAAATGGCGATGGGCCTCATGAATGTTTTGAGGGGTGATTTCTGGAGAGAAGTATGTTCAAAAGTCATCGGTTACGTCACTGAAAATTGAAAGGGAAATAAAAAAATGGGGAAGTGAGCCTGAGTTGGACGTGTGTATTGAATACTTGAGAACATTGTAAGTATTTTTCCTGATTTTCTGAAGTGGGGGGGGGTATTTATCACTGTTGTCTATGGCAGCTTATTTACTGGGCTGCAACCTCTGTGGCGATCGTGGACGACGTAAGAATAGCCAATGATAGCAAGGGAACAGAACATCCCACAAACCCCATTCGAGTCGAAAGGGAAAGGGTGAAATGCCACTTTATGAGACGCGCGACTGTTGCGGGTTCCTCATTAGCGACCCCAACAAATGAAGTGGAACAAGTGCCTTTAAATCGAGGCGACGCAGATAATTTGTCAGAATGTGATTTATGGCGGGGCTCGCCGAGTGAACGTCGCCGGTGTCGGGCGGGCCATGCTAAGCGTGGGATGGTCGGTAAGTCTTTTGCCTACACGAGCTGGCATAGTGGTAACTTGTGAGCCAACTCGACAACACGACAGGTACAGGTATAGGGCCACATGAATTTTTGTAAGGGACTTCGGTCTGAAGTGTATTCAAATCAACGAAATCAAAAAATTCAAATTAATCAAGAATTATTCATTCAAGAATCAAGTAGACCACATCTGCAACTATAAATGTCCGGTCAGTCGCATTAGCAAATCCAACAAACGGTGACAGCGTGTAAAAGAACCAAAGCCCTGCCAACCCAAAGCCCTTGAGCGATCTCAACACAAGCCAGTGACCAATCAGAATCATTCCCCTCATCAACAACTGACCAATCAAAAAATCGCCAGTCCACGAGATACGCCAGATGTTCCGACCATACCGAACCGTCATTTCACATGAAAACAACAGGACACGACCAGCAACAGCTGAATCCGTTACAATTTGGCCAGACAGACAACCAATAAAGAGCGGTTCTGGCTGCACAAATGACCAATCAGAGTCCTTCTCCCATTATTAAGGAATTGCAGAGCTCAAACTTTCTGAATTGGCGGATTATAGGGGGAAAAAAGCCCGTGCTCACTGCCCAAGGGTTGCTTCTCCGTCTAGACGCTAATCTTCTGCAGTCGAGCGATGCTTAATTATAATTCCAAGCGGTGGCTCTATTGAACGGAATCAACGGCCCTGGCTATTGGGCTAAACTGGGAGAATCGGCGAAGATAGCTCTCTTTTATACAGAATATTCAACGCTGTTAATTTAGCTACGGGACGCATTGAAAAAAAACTTGATACCTTTAAGAGTTTGAGAAAGAGGACAGGGGCCAAGCCATCGCGTAATTTAGATTAATGAGTGGAGTGGGAAACATGAAATAATGACCCCAAAATCATCATTTGTGAATTTGCCTCTTCTTAGAATATTTAAGAAACAACGACAAAATCGATGACATCACGATTGGCAGGCAGGTGGGGCCAGGTAAGTGCCTGAACTTTGTGGTTTGGGACATCAGGTCTGTGGAACGTAAAGCATGCAGTCTGGGCTACCTAGGCAGGCACGACAGCAGGCTGAGTGTAGACTGCGAATATTGAGATGTTGACCATGTCGGTCTAGCTCCCTGTCGTACTCCTAAAGCGGGCCATGTACCGAGCGAGGCAGCTTGCACGCGGGGAACCCACTCCACTGCTATCCCGTATAGTTACCTGTTGTCCCCGGGGTTCCACAATCCCCTACTCGCTTGGCCGGACGGAGACTGACAAGTTAAGGACGAGGTGTGTTTGATCGGAAAACAAAGCTGTCACTTTTATCGGATGCGCGAAGGACGGCAGGTAGAGAGAGAGGCAGCATTGGGCCGGGGACCGGGGCGAGGTATATAGGCGCGGCCGGACTGTGGAGCGGGGTTTGAGAGAGCGATTCGTGTGCCTTGGAAGGTGACAGTCATTCCCCAGTGTTTCGCGCTGATGGGAGCCTGGCCGGGGTCACTTTGAGCACCCAGGACTTGTCAATCACAGTCACGGTTTTTCAAACAGTGCAAAAAGTAAACAAATATTCCAATTAGTATAACATAAAGCAGTTAAGGTACGGTTACCTGTTCATCTACTCGCATGCATTCATTATTCACATGTATACCCACGACACTATACTTCAATTTCAAATAGGGAAGTTACAGAAGGAAGATTTTAAGAAGCTCTAATGAATACAAACAAAATGTAGATTTTCTAGCAAAAATATCAGGAAGCCAGACTTGTCAGTCCCACCAGGCAAAATAATTATACGAAAGACGATTTCTTCCAAATGCTAACATATTACGCGTGTACGGGGGGAATAAGACATTAATTAAGGCCATTCGAAATGATTCGACAGGGTTTAGTCAAGGAAATTGTTAGATTTTTGGTGATATTGAACTGCTTCACATTTTCATTAATTTAATTCGCACACCTGCCGCGAATACTCTCAAAACATAAGTCTAATCGTCTAGGTAATCGCCTGAACACTGGCAGTTGTGCAATGAGCATGTGAGGTCCGTTCTCTGTCTCTGATATCGAAAAAGAAGCGACTATCTGCCAACTCGGCCTTGGAAACGTATATTTCTCCCTGCGAACCTATAAGGTGGGGGTAAATGGAGAACTATATAGTGCCAAATTTTAGCCTAAAGTTGGTTTTAAAAAAAGTCAAAAAGTCAGTAAATTTTTACTAAAAGGAGGTCAGATTTAATTCATTAATCTGTCAAATTTTTGTGAAATTATTTTTTCACAGTGAACTCATGAGACTTTTCGTCGAATTACGCGAATGCATGCGTCAAATCAAGTTACAAACAGCAACAATTCAAACCGGTAACAAGTAAACGAAAAACAAAGTAACAATCGTACCACAATCTTCGCTCAAAGAACCGAAATGGCCTCTTTGTTCGTGCGCCTAAATAAATTTTAGGTGGAAAAGACGCACAAAACAATACCATAAAAATGTACATCTATAAATACACTCAAAAGCAGACGAATATAACTTGGAATTCTAAATTTACGACTACCCCGGCGAATTCTTTGGTCATGATTCCCTCCGCTCCCCCCCCACTTTTTCCCCCCAACGAGCAAGGACGGTGTTGGCTGGCAATACCTTTGTTTGTTTCAAGAGAAAATAATAATAACAGATACTAGGTGCTTTGATCTCGGGCGGAAACTAAACACTCCAACTCGCCAACGGCGAGGAATGAAATATGCTCCCGGCAGCTAAGGTGTGCATGCGGCGGTGTGGAGACCGGAATTTACGGCCCTCCGAACACCCCTGGCAGATTTAGGGCCCGTTTCTGGTCGACCCCGGGCGACCCCGGCTATACTCGGTCCGTTAGTAATACATATTTGTGTTAGTTTTCATTATTGTTTCAAGAAGCCGCCCTGTCATTCCCACGTATGAGCGCCGAGAGACGGAACTGCCTGGCGGCCCATGGTACACGCCGCGAGTGAGGAGAACTCCGCGCCTTACGCACCGTGGAATTTCCCCCCTTCTTTCGGTTAGTTTCCTGGGGGGTAGGCCCTATACCGCGCTCAGATCATATTTTACGGCAGCGTGGTTTATCTTTTCATCGGGCCGGAGACGGTGAAGATATATGGTACGGGGATCAATCTTGATAGGCTTCTGAAGTTTGGGTCCACGATTTATTGTAAGACAACTTGATATCCAAGAATAACTTTCCAAAAAACTGGACTTCGAAAAAAAAAGTCCAATGGAAGAAATACACCAACCCCTCGAAAAATAAATCTTCATAGATTCATAACTTCACACTAAAGGCATACGGCATTCCTACAAGCGAACTTTGCGGTACGCAACAATAGTACCAAGCTAATAACATGTATCTGTTTGGAATATCCAAACGGATGAAAACTTTGTGTCTACAGCTTTAAACAGTCGTTAATCAGAAATGAGCTGAGTTGATTTAAAGCGCGCAGAAACAGCAAACAGCCGCCCATTTTTCACAAACCACGTTGTTGATATACGAGCCAGTTTTCTGAATTCAAATGGCCCGAAAGCACGAACTAAACCTGCATGAAAAACAATTGACTTGAGAACACCATTACTGAAAATCAAATTCAGAATTCGCAGAGGAGCCTCTACCGTACATTGTGTAATTCTGTGCAATCCTGGCTTCAAGCATTAGTTCCAACAATTCAACATGATTTAGAGTGCGTCGCTATAGTGATGTCATGCACTACAGACACCGGCAAAAACCGCAAGCTTATTCTCCGTACAGGCCTGACACCGGAATATGGAGAGATACAACCATTTGTTTGTTTCTCTTTTTTTCACAGGCCTACACGGTGAGTTTTCTTGGATGGTTGAGTTTGAACATTGAAACGACCTTTATCGTAGAGACACGTTGTCGACAAACTGCGCCATCATTACATCTTGATGTTCGCCATATTTACACCCATCTTCAAACTCTTGAAACTTGACTATCCACGGTGTTTAATTAATGTCATGTGTAATCTGTATAATCTGCCAAGTTGACTCTCTAATGACCAGATTTCAGTGACTGTTCTTTGCAGTAGAAGAGACAGATGTAAACGCTTGTTCCGATGAAATATTCCTTTTACAAATCACGCTTCGGTGGTATGGGGTAAGCACTTGTAATAATGCCCGACTCCCAGGGGACACCGTGATTTTAGCGATCCCATTACGGGGGTGACAGGCGCTGTTTAACGGTGCGAGCAAAGGTGTGAAATCTGACGCCGTAGCTGCCTTTTGTTGCTTAACACGGACATCACATTCGATCACGTTTTACAACTTAATTAAGCCCGTTCAGATTGGGGTGACTTTTTTCGGTGTATGTGGGTCATTCCGAGGCCGAACAAAAGTTACAAGGAAAAGTAAAAATGGTCCGTGATATTTGTCTTGAAAAAGACAGAAAACTCTTGCGGCATCGGGATTCTGTTCATACTTCTAAACATAGGCCTACTCAGAATATTATAGTGTTCAAGTCTAATATTAATATCTAACCAGTTACACATCACCCTTTCAGACAATCATTATTTGTTACACACTGTTGATGTTTCACGAAGTTATGCTTAAAGTTGCTACTTCTTTAATTTGAAAGATATCCTTAGGTTAAACAAGAATCTATCACGGTCTAAGTATTGTGTTTACATGGAAAAACATATAATTTTACTGACTTCGCCGATTGCTGCAAAAACTGGAGAAAATCTACGGTACATAAATGAATGACAAGAAAAAATTCAAAAGAGGAAATTGTCATCTCTCATCGGCAGGCCATAGCACTAACAAATACAATCTCGCGCTGGACAGCAACGATTTGTGACGCAACATGCCTAGTTATGGCATGGAGGTAGGATTATGGCGAGAGAAGCCTCCGACCGCGTGAGGCTAGCACGGCGCCCTATCGCACCCTAGATCTTCACAGGAATGTTTCCATTTAGTTGTTCGGTCGCCACTCGTTACTTCTGAAGAGGCAGCCTGTTAAATATGATCCCAGTTAATGTCTTTCCTCGTGTTTAGTCTCTGATGTTTCTGCACGGTTGCATAAAATGTGAAAAAGTATGAGAAGGTAGGGTGAGGAAAGGCTAGGAAGAAGGCAGACAGATCTGAGACACCTTCAGATGAGTTAGAATGTTTCATGGCTGTCTCTACCTGCATGGAAAGTTTACATTACGATGGGCAAAATGTTGGTCTTTTCCTACCTAGTACCTCCATGGTTTTACTGTGGCCTTCCTGAAATAGGCCTACTATACAGCTATAGCGCAAGATGTCAAAAATACCACTGTGATAACGCATCAGCCCCGAGGTAAGAACTAAATTCCTTGATTTTGAGCAAACGGCCACTGACCTGAAGTAATGTTCCTTGCAGTAAATGCCCCCGTCTTTAGCGAAGCACGTCAGTTCGTTATCCAGGGCGATTTTGCACTCGCAGCACCGCAGGCAGTCGGTGTGCCACTGCTGGTCGGCGGCCAGCAGGTAGTACCGGTCTTCGATGGGCCCACCGCAGCCGGCGCAGAGGCAGGCCCGTCCGGTCTTGCCGTACGACGGCGGGAGCCGTTGCGCCTGCTGGCGATTCGTGGGGGAGCAGGGCGATCTGTCGGGGGCGGCCCCTCCACCTCCTCGTTCGTCGCAGTCCAGGCGGTATCTTTCGGCACAGGCCGTGCCTGAGTCCAGGCCGTGCTGTTCCCGGTTCTCCGTGGCAACTGACTGCGGCATTTTGACCGGCTGTAGCGTGAAATACATTCAAAGTTTTCAGGCTGAAGCAAAAACGCGTTGAATAACTAAGGTAAACACACGCCGTGAATAACACCGATATACTTCGGAACACCGACTGAAAATTCAATCTCCTGTTAGCTTCAGTCGGCCGGTGATCAAAAATCCTGTAACGTCAACAGCAAAACGAGCCGTGTGTCCCCCCTGGCTCACCAAAGATGAGTTATCTCTTGAACTGTTTTTCTTCCTGAAGTCTGTTATCACATCCAAGCACAGGAGACGCACTCAGCACCGCTCACAGGATCGGAGTACCAAAGCTCCACTGTGCCCATATGGGTTAGGCAGTTGACGGCTGTCTGCATACCCCAATAGCTGACAAAAATTCCACCGACCAAAAAGACAATAACCACACAAATCACACCCATTCATTGGCAATAACACCTCCTCTTCGTCCTCCACCCTCTCCTTTATGGTAATCTAGTTGAGGGGGATATTTATATACAAGCTTCGAATCAATCTTGGCCAAGTACCGTATCACCTGCCGAGTCCCACACTGTGTAATCACCGACTTAGACTGGGACCTCGAAAACCGCGATGTATCTGTGATACCAGACCAAGCCGCGCGCAGCACATGTGCCAGTGGCATGCACTTTTCTTCTGCATGCGCGTACTGCATTCGATGCATAATCGTAACCGGGTTTCGAGAGCAGTGACGGGGTAGGCCGGGAGGTGGTGCGTAGCGACCAACCAGCCGGGCCGGACAGACAGCCAACCAGCGAGCTCCGCTGAGTACTACTACGGCACTTCTCGCGTCGCTGTGTGTAGTGACTCACGACCGTCTCGTGCCGAGTGAAGTCGGGTAATTGACAGCGAGACGACGCAGCCTGGGTGACACTTAAGAGCACAGAGGGTCCAAAGACCCCGAATCTCTACTCCATCTGAGCATGATCTGAGCTTATATGATCTGAGTACCAAATTCATTGTAAAATAGCACAGTTACGGCAACAAACGGTTTCAAGAGGACCTATCTATGGAACTGGTTTGAATCTGCTTTGTGATAGTAGCGGCCTATCATTTTGTTGAATTTAATTGTCTAAAGCATGCCCGACGCTACAGTTGCAACGCGAAATGTGAAGTCTTTCTTTCGCAGTGTTTTAATTATCAAATCATAGATGTCATCATCATCAAACATTGTCACAAATGTGGATGTCTTACCCCTCTCGGCTCCTTCTTGTGCATACATTTCAACTACGGGCGTGGTTAAAATTCCAAGTTATTTCGAGGGCGTTACACAAACAATTTCAGAGGGGCAGCATAAGTTAGGAACAAGAACCTGAGGGTAAAAAAAAATCTGAACTTAATTGCTCCAGAAAAAGTCCTTGTACATGCACAGCGCGTACACGGGCCAACACGCGTATTCTGAAGCCAAAGATTTTCTTTATTCCAAACAAAATGCCGCCTGAAGAGCCAGAGGCCAGTTGTCAGGGGGGGGGGGCAGTTCACTACCGCAACATCGGCACGCCAACAACAGCAGCTCTGTCGCAGTGTGTGTACAACAATGTCACGGGCTCCTGCCGACTGTTCGAACAAACCTTCAGCCTTCAAAGAAAAACTGGATCGGTACAGTTGCTTCTGTTTGCCTTCTGCAACAAAGATAACCGTTTGGGAATTAGGAACGACTGTCTATCATTCATCTTCGATCTGTTATCGATCAAACTGTGAAGTTCATTCTCTCTTTTCATTTCTTTTTTAATTGAATCAAAAATTTAGGTCACACATTATTTCACAGGGAAGATGTTGAGTGAAAATGCGTATTTAAAAAAAAGACTTCGTGGGAATAGTTTCTAATTGGTTTTGGCAAAAAGAAGTCGTATTTTGTCCCTAGCCGAAAGAGAGCTCCAGTGACGTGTTGCTAACCTTCTTGGTGAATCCAGAGTCCTCTACGTCGAGCGCTTCTGAGCACTATTTTGTTTCGTGCGAAGATAAAAGACGATGTTCACTTTTTAAAAGTCTCAGAAACAACAGCCAACTTTAGGTACAATTTTAACCCTTTTCAACCATAAAACAAACATTACAACACCACCAAGAGAACATTTCAATTACGGGAAAGGGAAGATATATAGAAAGAAAAAAGAAATGAAATCGAAGGAATTAATGACGACCCCTACGAAGGTGCTCGAGGTCACGCGTACCCGTGTTCCCTTGATTATAATCAACTAGGAAGGATTCCTGGAACTTCGATTTAGTTTCTTGAACAAATGATTTAGCTTCGGTTCATCAACAGATCTTTGTTCTAGAAAAGATGGCCCCCGGTCAGAAAGGTTTCATTTTACTTTAATTGGACTCGGTTCTCAGTGCAGCCAACAGGTATTGCATCCTTCCCTCTTTGGTCGGCCTACATGTCATAAAGGCTGCGCTCAGGCCTCACGAGAAGGTCTGCTCTTTCTTTGTTAAAGTTGTATTTTTTTCCAATAAGTACGTAAAACTATGGCAGGCCGTCAGTACGGTCAAAACAAGAGATTCACTCAGTGTCAAAAAAATTACCTTGCTATCACACACCAAACGAAAAACATAACCACTATACACTAAACGAAAAGACATTTTCTTAGGTGAAAGGGCAAATGTATAATTTGAGGTAAAACCTGATACCAACCAAGGGGGATATTTCTGCAAACTGTGTCCGCCCATGAGAATACTACAGGCAATTATGAGAGTTGCCTATAGGCTGCTGCCTGGTTTTACTTCAAAGCTCCGCGAGAACTTGATCAACAGCGCCCTCAGTTGATTACAAACTGAACGTTTTACGAGTATTCTTTACGCCTTCACTCGTGAAGCAAAACGTTTCGCTCGATCGTCGTCACGAGGGACCAGACGATGTCGAGTGAACATTACTTGGGGAGAAATTGCAATCTCAAATTTTATTCCTTAAATATATAACCTTGACAGAGTTTCTTGATGCAGGATTTGGTTAAATTCAGAATAAAAGAGGCCATTAAATTGAATATGGGCCAATTGTGTTATATGTAATCATTTTCAAAATAACAGTCGTTGGAGTTTACACTTTTACATTTTTTCCGTCTAAGAAAATTCTTTTCAAAACACATTCAGAGTAAAATTTAAATGAACTTCAATCTCGATTCAATAAGTTTTTGTGAGCGCACTGTCCATATAATAACACACACGCACTATTAAGTGTTGCATTATTCAAACCACAGTACACTGCTGCAGTTTGAATAATGCAGTACCTAAAATAAAACCAATATTCAAGTTTGTGGCTTTATTTGATGATATACATTTGGCGGTCTGAAACGGTCGAACAGCGGGACACAAGTGTCAATCGTGTTTATGGATCTCCATCGATTTGGCAAGTGTCATGAACACGATAGAGTCTAACACCCTCGAATCACATTTCCCTAAACTGGCAATCTCTACAGAGGGCTACGTGGAACCCAGTCGCGGTGATGCGCATGACGGCACTGTGCTACGCGGGGTTCCAACACAGCGGGAAAAAAGCCGAGAACCTCCGCCGTGCAGCTGCAAAGAACTCCGCCGTCGATCGGCGCGCGGTCGCCCCTGCTATAGAACTCCGCCTTTTGTGTCCCGCCAACGTAGCGTGAACGCAACCGGAGGGTTCCCGGCAGGGGCGCCGTTGACACAGGGGCGTCGCACAAAAGCCAGCCATCTCTCGGGCCCGGGTCCGTAAACCCCTGCAGATATTTTTCGGGTCCTTCTGAGATTAGTTGCAGTGGCTTTATTTAGTTTCTTTATTTTTTTTCTTCCATCGCTGAAAAACTGGAAACAGAATCGCAATATTGGCAACAAGTCTTTCCCCGTTCAGACGCGAGATTTAAGATGTGCTCATGACTCGAAGAGTTAGACGAATTTTACATTGAAGGGTTTAAATCCGTGTCACTTTCCACGATGACAGCTTGATATCGCTACGAGAGGCATTCGACTGATTACGAACACTGTAAAACGCTGGGCCTTTTTTTTCGCCCGGCGCTGGGTACCGGGTGAATCGCTTAGAATGCTGCGGTCAAAAAGTGGTAGTGTAAATAACTTTTCCACAACTGTTGGGTAAAATGAGACAGGTTTGCCTTGATTTTGGGAGAGAGTCAGCGTGGTTGACCCAACAGTTAGGCGATTCACCTGGTACCCAACACTGGGCAAAAAATTGTCCAGCGTTTTTACAGTGAAAGAACGGGCTGAAGTAACGGGTAACGAGAAATAAAACTGGACTGGAGTCGTTACTTTACCACTCTCATAAGTACCACTGGGACAAGGATTTTTAACTCAGTTCCGGAATCCCCGACAATTTCGACTCGGCCGAGGGTCACTGGCGGTCACAGTCACGCTCAGCATGGGTGCTTCACTTCCCGAACAACATCCACCGCGCAGACACACACAAAAGGAACAACTCAAAAAGAGTGCGTCTTTTACAACAAGAAAAGACTGTTATAAAAAAAAAATGTTTTCCCCCGTCGCTGACAAGGACCCGTGCATGCACTGTGCAGAGAAAGAGAAAGAGAGAGACGGGGTGAATGTGTGTAATGCCCCGTCACTGCCCGCCCTTTCAAAAGCCCGCTAACGCCCGATTACACGGCTTGGAATAACAGCCCAGCAAAGTGGATGTCAAAGTGGCCGCGGACAAAAAGAGTTGAACCTGTCGCGGCCGTTTGCCGTTACTTTAGGCCTCGTGACCGAACCAGGAGAGACAAAAACCCAGATTCACTGCACTTTTCCTCCCGCCCCTTTCCCCTTTTCGGACGGGAAAGCAAGAATGGGGCGGGGATTTCCATTTCTTCCAAACTATTTGCCATTTGGCCTTTTAGTTAATTAGTTCAATTGAGGTTGCGTTCAGGTGTTCTTTGGGTGGTTTCGTCATAATCCCATGGCCTCAACATTAGTTCAGTCCAGGAAAAGCTCACGCAACGAAGAAGCATTTGTATCATTTTGACACCTGCCGGCAGAACTTGCACACTTAAAAGTTAGTTTCTTATCAATTATCGTGTTGAAGTTTTAAGTCTGTGTTTAACCATAAAGGTTCTTTATATTTTTACCTGTTTATATGATTGTTTGCTTTGTCCAGAGGAACTACAAAGTTCCGACAACATTTCGCTGTTCCAGCCAAAAAATACAAACAGCTCCTGTAATAATTCAACGACGCGTGCAATTTTGGCTGGTCTTGCCAACCAACTATAATATATTACACACAAATACTGCAAAGACGCATCAAGGCATCCGCGCACAGAAAATGAAAGATGCCTCAGCCGACCTCTTCATGAAGCTAGGGTTTAAAACCAGAGGTCTCCAGGACGGGTAAAGAGATGAAAAGACAAACAAGCTAAGATGACAGAACACTGTGATTACAGAAGGTCAAACTGTATTACACCCACGGTAACAGTTGCAAGATGACGTATAAGTGATGTTTTGGAAGTAAAACTGTGACATTTTGCTCTATCTGCCGTGCATGAGGTGTAGTTGAGGAAACTGGATTTCAAAGCAGCACAGCCAAAGGGAAAACAACGACCTAGACAAAGAACTTTGCTAGCAATTGAATCATTCATCACCTGTTCCAAGAGTTTGAATGCTGGAGAAGAACTCCGATGAATGGAGGGGATATTTGGCCCAGTGGTTAAGATTTGTAGCTTCCGAGGGTCAAAGTTGGAATCCAACTATGTGTT